GAGGATTCCGCTGACAAAGGTACAGTACGTTGTTAACATACATGAGTACGTATCTATCCGCAGCTGCCATGGTCAATTGAGAGGGTGGAGGTTTGATCTCAGTGCTTATGTACCTCTTTCAGGTTGTAGTAGCCATTGGACTTAACCTTGAAGCGAGACAAAAATATGTCTTGAGGAAGGGCTTGTAAGGAAGCAAGTTGGTGAAGAGATGCCGAGGTCTCAATAAGGTACAGTACTGTACAGTACCTGTCAGACCACGTGATCTCTGCCATTCAATCGCCGGGCGGAGACTGATTGGTTACTGATAAGGCAGGTCCAGGACCGATTAGTACGGTATAGATCTCATCATGGATGCCTCTCGTATAAGCTTATGTTGTAACCTGGAAAGGACCATAGGGTGGGTTTGGGGTTGGGGGGGGGCAACAGATAAAAATAACGGATATATCTTTTCCAGTCTGCTGATTGGTAAGTGAGGGCTGAACAAAACAAAGAAGTCGGTGAGTAAGTTCTTGTTTTGCTCTGGTACATTGATCCCTGAAGGGATAAAACAGCAACTGGTCGAAACAGTACCCTCTTTTCTTGAAAGCACAATAATGCTACTAAGTATCTATAGAACATTGATATTTGGCTCCAATCATGGCTCGAGTATTGATTTATTATGCGAATGTAACAAGCACTATGGAGATCCGGGAGAGAGAGAGCCAGGTCAGTCCAGTGATAGTTCGGAATAGCTTCAGCATACCTCACTTGGGAAGCTATGAACGGCCCGAAACGGACGGTCGATTCCACCACCCGCATCACCAAAGAGGCCCAATTTGCCCCGCGCCTGACCAGCTCAGCCAGAGGCTCGAGAGAGGGGCATTCATAGAGTTGTTCCCCTACAGGCGGGGCCGGCTGATCCCCCTCTCTGCAAGCCCCGCACTACCATATGACGTGAACGCACGGCAACAGCGTGGTCGGTTCACCAAGCAACCTAACTGACTACTGCATCAACGTGCGTGAGGCTTGGCCGACTTTGCCGCTGAAGGAGAGGGGTTGACCGGGTCGCATTGGACAGACATCCAGAGCCTCGAGAAATGAAACCCCGGTTAAATTGAGGAAGGGAGGGGTAAGGCGAAAAACCACTATGGCAAGCGCGGTAGCGCTCACCGTCTCGAATACAACAAATTTGCACTATCAAAACGGAAGACGTAATCGTACTAAGTAAAGCAAACTTAACTGTCTTTCATTTGCCTCTAAACATTTGGATTGTGTTGTGGAGATATTTCTCATTTCCACTTCAATCTCCTAGCAACGGATTTCTCTTATCGGACTCTCGAAGAGTTGGGATATAGTAAGCGCAATAACAAAAGAAAAATGTGAAATGACAAACACAAACAGCCTCTCCAATGCATGAAGTCATAGATGCCCAACGATGCCCATGCTAATAATGCCAACAGAAAACAATCCAACAGTAGAGATTTGAAACAGACTCGCCAGCCCTCATGCTTTTGTCGCATATGCATCCGGTCTATAAACTGCGCCATCGCCCATCTTGAGTCAGGGTCTAAAAAAAAGCACAAAACGTAAGAATAACAACAACAGAAAAAAAAGGGTAAGACAAGCCACTAGACACAATATCCACAAGACGAAATAGAGGAAGTTAGAAAATGACGTATGAGTTTAAGAACTCAAGGGGAAGGGACAAAGGGGGGGTAGAGAGAGATCAGAGAACCGATGTGATAGGACAGGATACGTAGGAGGCTTCAAACCTCGACTTCGGACTTGAAAGACTCAGGCGCGCGTAGTTGCGCTGAGTCAACATGAGGGGGAACGTCCAGCTCATCGATGCTTGTCCGCGCAGAAGAGAGCAATCTCCGCACCTCTTCGGGTGTGCCGTCCTCCTTCCCGACAATGAACGAACCCCGCAACACGTTTTGATCCTCGGACATGTCATCGGGTTGGATTTTCTTTTCCATCTCCTTTTCTCGCTCCGACTCTTCCATCCAGAAACTCTCGAAGGCACCAATGATGCAGACAAGACCGCAAGCCCACCATGCCAGCACAGAGTATCCACTCTCAAGACCTTTTGAGTGCAATAAGCCGGTAATAGTCGGGCCAAAGGCGCGGCTCAAACTGGCAGTAGAGGCTGCGGCGCCGTTGATGGAACCAAGCACCTTAGAAGATGGAGCAGCATTGGCCAGCAGAATTGCCGTAGCGGGGAATGCGATGACATGTAGAGTGATCTTGCTGATCAGAGCCAGATAGGCCGCAGCAAGCTGGAGCTTCTCCGGCAGAAGGATGAGGTAGGGGACCATGAAATACAAGGGGGGCCAAACCAGCAACACGAAGCGGAAAACCCTGAGTGTGCCAAAACGACGAACAACGAAAGGAAACAACCAAAGCTGCGCAATCATCGAGTATACACCTTGGACTGCAAGCATAAACCCGATCTTCTTGGTTGCCAGTCCCAGACCTCCGGTAAACTTTAGAGGAAGCGAAGCGGCGTCAGCGGACGTAGGAGTGCTGAGGAAGACCGGCATGAGTTGGTCGAACGAAACACTATGGCTGGGGACGATGTCAGTACCGGAACACTGTGGAGAAATAGATACTCTGATTAGACTCACTATGCGAGAATGCCATAGGCGATGATGTTGAAGATCACTTGTTTTGTGAAAGCCTTGGGCTTCTGCCCTTTCATCTGCCCCTCAATGTCGTCATCCGTAGAGAGATCATCTGATTCTTTCATCGGACCCAGACGAGGAGAAGACTCAGCACTTCTGTATTCGGGGGGTGGAACATCGTCGTAGACGAAGTAATCATCGCCGGTAGTGTCCGCCTTGACGTCCAATTCCTCGGCAAGATTGTCGCGGGATCCCTTGAACTTGTTTACCAGCCAATTGCCTAAATCCAAGCCCGGGTCGCGGCGGTTCCTCTTCTCGGGATGGGTCTCCTCCAAAAACAACAAGCCGACAATGATACCGGACGAGAGAACGACAACACAGACCAAGTTGGGCAGCAGAAATGGGAAACTGTCGAAAATGGTTCCACGCTGGAACAGCCAAGGGTAATTGTCGCAGGGTTGTGCCAACGCACCACCCATGGCGGGTCCGATGATCGAACCTAAGCACCAGACGAAGGGCATGATAGAATAGGCCCGGGGTTGGTGCTCTTTGACTGTGACTATCTCCGCAACGGTCGTTTGGAGGACTCCGATGTTACCATTCAGAAGACCTCCCAGGGCCCGGGCGACCATGGCAGTCGCCAGGTTGGGAGCGAATCCGAACACGATCATGCTGATGGCAGTTCCAATCAGACCCATGACCAAGACGGGTTTCCTGCCAATCCTGTCACTCATGCGACCCCAAAACATACCGGCGGAAAATTCGGCGAATGTGAATGACGAAGTGATCATCCCCGCATATAAAGCAATCTTGCGATCATTGTCTGTCACGTGGAAGGACTCAACCATCTGATAGACATAGGGGAATATGGACATGAATGCGATTGGCTCGCAGATGCGACATAGCGCTAACCCAGATGTCAGTCATGATATCCATTCTAGTAAATGCTCCCCGAGCGCAAGAGGCGCGGCAGTAGAAAAAGAATCAAAGGAAAGAATCAAAGGAAAGAATCAAAATCAGAGGAAGAAAGGGGGGAAGAGGGGCAGGGGAAAGAATAGAAAGATCCAACGACAAACAAACTAGCATTCGCCTTGAACACCAGTCTCTCTCTTTTTTTTCTCTCTCTCTCTTTTGTTTCCCCCGACAACTGTTGGGCGCAAAAAGCAAAAAGCAACAGCAAAAGCAAAAATACAGAAGGGCGGAAACGTACCTAGCACGAAGAGTTGCCGTACAGGGAAAGCGGACCAATCAGCGTTGCGCTCGCCATGTCGACGGCCTTGTAAACACGACGGGCGTTTAAACATCTTGTCGTTGGACCGTTTGTGCAATTCTAACATCCACGGGGTGATAGAGTTATATTTGCTTGCTAGACACTCTGATCCAACAGGAGCAGGCTTGCCAGCGAGGTCAAATGGTCGAAAAGGAATGTGTCTTCGGTGTTGTAACCGAAGGGAGGGAATGTTGGGTATAGTATAGTGATAAGATCGCTGTGCTGAAGAAAGGAGAGAGGCTGTTGGTCAAAGGGGGCTCAACATTTCCTCCCCCTGTCGCAAATTCAATGGCGAGATTCCCGTTCGTTTTCGTTTCTCTGCTTCTGCTGGTCTCCCTTTTGGGTTCGGTGATGGTCAAAAGCTGAGAAACGGCTAGGCTGTGTAACTGCAAGGGAATCCGATGACGCCAAAGTTTGATTTCAACAAACTGGTCGCTTCTGGAGGAAGTTGGTCAAGGTAACGAGGAGTGAAGACAGAGAGACAGATCAGTGTTGTTCAATCGAGTAGACAGTAGGTCAAAGGAGGTTAGGTTCGGAGGGTAGGTGTAGATATAGCAGCTGATGTACTACTTGGTAGTATAGTATGAGTGTCAACGGGCGTTTCGTCTCAATTGAGAACAGGGGAAGCAGATGAATTGAGGTTGAGAGCAGTCAAGCACAGGGGGAAAAAGTAGAAAGGTCAGTCGAAAGGAGAAGCTGGCCGGGCAGAGGAATTAAATGTAGTATTTTGAAAGTGGATAGCCTACGGAGTACTGATATGTGATCAGGCAAAAGACTAAAAAGGTGTCAACGGTTCAGGATAGTAGTCAGTATGGGACAATAAAGGCAGGCCCTTTTTCGGTTACAGCTGTACAAGAAGGATGCAGCTGCAAGCGGACAGCAAACAGCTGAGGAATAGGAAGGATCCACTCTAAATTATTAATAAAGACAATATTCTTTTTTTTTTCTCTTGGTCGCTCGATCTTAGGTTGTTGAATTAATTTGATTTATTTTTTTTTCATGCCGGGCTCTTTTAGCTTCAATTTTTATTTTATTTTATTTTTCCCTCTCTCATATTTTTCCTAAAGCATGATGCGGGTGGGCTACCCGGAAGGATAGGGAACGCCAGATGGATCGGAGCCATCTGACACGACGGTACGGGCAACAAGACTACGGTACCTTAGTCTAGATACTGGGGTACTACATCCTAGTTTAGTCCTCCGAGTAGGCCGATGACAGAGAAATCAGATTCAAAGGGAAAGAACCGGAATCTGGGATAGGGTGGAACCAATCGCTGCAAGAAAGAAACGCAATCCATTCAAGGTACGTACGTACCGTACCCGACTGTACATCGATCCTCAGGAACTGAGGGTTGCTGCTGCGCTCTGCTTGGGTAGTCAATACAAACCTGCTGTACGCACCAAGCAAGCAGAGAAAACAGGCCGGGTTACCTGCTATCATGTATGTACACAGTGCAGTACTTCCAAGTAAGAGCGGTATGGGCTGGTCCATTTTTTGACAGAACAAGAAGAAAATGGAAGGAAGGGAAGAGAAACCCACTCCTCCATTTTCGACCCATATTGGGGGATAAAAAGGACGAAATAAAAGAAAATAAGAGGAAGAAACCCCCATGAATGCCTATCAAATCACATACAACCGTCGGAATCAGATTCAGATCGGAGCTGGAATTGTAATCATCGATCCAAAGTCTAGTACTGTCAGACCACACTAGTCTACCAAAAAAAAAAAAGAAAGAAATCGAGCAGTAAAACCAGATGGGGTGGGTGGGTAGAGCCGCGAAGCAAAAGAAGAATAAAAAATAATAATCAGAAATCAAAAAGGGATGGAGCCAGTTTACAGAGAGGGATGGGAAGAACATCAAAAGAGAGAGAGAAAAGTGATGGATAAGAAAACCAAATTAAAAAATAGAAAAGCGATGAGGTCGAAGGAGAAACCGCAAATTGCCCCATTCCAGAGCCGCCGCCGCAGATTGACCGGTAGGAGGAGACCCATGAATCCATGATGGACCTGAGCCCTAGGCTCCGGGGAACAGTAGAAAAGGTGTGTAGCTAAAAAGCCCGCTAAATTGGTCCGTAAGGCAATGATGATCGACTTTCCAGAAGTCTGGTTTTAGTGCGACTTAGTGAGATGATAGATCTAACAGCGACTCCCCCAAGTCCACACCTGGTGTCCTCCCGTCTCTCTCTCTCTCTCTCTCCCTATCATCGTGCCCCCCCCCCCACCCCCTCCTTTCAGGAATCGCATGTCTCAATCAAGAGAGGTCAACGCTATTCCGAAGTCCGAATGGAATTGCAACTACAAAGGAGTGCGCCCTTCTCTTATCCATTGTGGAGGTTTCTGAAGGAGCAAGCCTAGTCCCCATCCACTATTATGCTTGATGCTCGATGACCAGGTTAGAGGGTCCAGTACCTGTTAGGTGCAGTAAGCATAAAATATCACCTTCCAAATGTAAAATAAATGTAAGTATCAAAACAGCCAAGGCCCATCGCTGAACAGCTCAAGAAGAGCAATTATGACAACATTCATGAAGGAGTCAACATCTCCAAGCTTTGTGCTTCCTTCAATGTCATTTGACCTGCAATAGGAAATCTACCCAGCAAGATGATGGGTGCCTGCACTGGTGGAGCGATAACAAGCGGTGAATTCCATTGACTACCTACTTAGCTACCGTTGACGAATTGCACTTAGTAAGAAGCTAAAACCCTGCCTGTCTGACCAAGAAAAGACAGCATGAAGTGCTTGCAATCCGGTTCAGATCAGCGGATCGCGAGCAGAACGATAAGGCAAAATGTAGACTGAGGGGTTCGGCCGAGCAAATGTATAATGAGTGAATCTAATGGAGGGAAAGAAGACTGACAGTGCAATATGAATTGATTGTATTCAAAGGGGAACGAACCAAAGAAAGTTCGCATGGCCATTTGCCGAAGTGGGCCAGGTACTTCGAAATGGCGGCGAACTTCACTCCTTACGGTGAGAAACAAAACTATCACACTTTCTCTCGCCAGACCTGGAGCGGGCCGGCAATGGGGGGTTGAACCTGTGAGGAAAGGAATCATCGATTGACATTGAGTGGAATCACCAAAATTGGTGAAGATAAAGATTCAAGGTCATAGAAGGAACACTTCTCAGGCGCAAAACTCCTGACTCTCCTTCATACCTGTAGTATCGACTCCGTACTGGGGGCCCTTAGAATCCAGGCTCAATGGATTTTGTCGTTTGTTCCCAGCTGTTGCTCATCATCGTGGAACATGACAACTTGCAGTCGTTTCTGCCTCCCTTAACTCGGTCAGATAATGCTGCTATAGCAAATGGTTGCTCGGCTTCTCGAGCAAATGCTCCGGAACTTTAATGTGATCCCCAGCTCCAAGCAAAGCATCATTTACGGAGTAGTTGGCGTATACTTTGGGTGACGATACCGTTACCGTACATGAAAGAATTTCCGGGGAAGTGAGGAGAATCAGTTTCCAGCGTCGACCGGCCGGAACAACACAATTAGGGAAGATAAGAACTACAGTCTCCGTACAATACCTTCTATGGCAAGAACTTCCTTGGAGAGAACACCGAGAAGTCTCAACAATTTCTGATGCATTCCAAATTTTTTTGAATTGCCTAGGGCCTCGTAACAGACCTACCAGCAGGTTTGAACATTGGTGAATAGCAGACAAATGAAACCATTCAGAGGCAATTCTCTCGGGTTTCTCGAAGAGCCGCCAGTCTTTCATGCATAATCACCTCTTGGGCTGCCGTCACCTAGCTCTTTGCTATGCAAGAACGAACCTGCTTCAATTCTCTTTGACGTCACTTTGTCGGCTAGTCGCTAATTGACCAGCGCTGTTGGATTTTTCCCCAGCCGCTCGAATAGATGGAAAGACCTGAAACAGCGGGTTATGCGAGAGGAGGGGCCGGGGGTGGGTAGCGCGAGACCAGATAGAGACCAAAGTGAGGGTTCCAGATACCTTCTTTATGATACTAATGTATGGAGCCAACGATCTTGATACCTGTTTGTATCCAGTCAGTAAGTGATACTTAGCACGTCTCTTACGTGGCTGACTACTCCGGCGTTTTACTTGGGAAGTGAGTATCCTAGGACAGCCTTGGACCTACCAAAAGAATCTCAGCCAGTAGCGGCTTCATGCTGATGCGATCCCCATAAGTCGGTAAAAGAGAGACTGCGTTCCCTTAGGGACAAACAACACTAAGGGCGGGTGGAAGTGGGAAGGACCAAGGCACTGGGATCTCAATTCCAGATGCTTCTTGCCAAGGCGCTCCCCCCATGTCCCCATACCAGGGCTAGGGTAACAAGTAAGTTACAATCAGTTTACCGGGCAGTATGTATGTACTGTACACACAGTACCACATTGGAACTGTCCACCACTTGCTGCAGTAGGGAAATAGTGTCATGCTGTGGATCCCATAGTGCCTGACTTAGCTTGGTTGAGATCTGGAGCCACGCGAGCCAAACGAGGATCAGAAGAAAAACAATGGAAGAGTTTAGAGCTGCAAGTAATTCTTTGACTACAACCATGGTACGTATCTGTGCATAGCAGTGGGGCTTTCTCCTACTATGTATGATACAGACGATCGACCCTGAGCATCCACCATTCCCCCCCTCTCCTAGAAGAATGGGAAATGGATACTATCGTCGCTGTACGGACAATAAAGCTTTTTGTACTTTTCCCCTAATCCATCCATCCATATTCTTTTGAGGGCAAGAATAGACAATGCGCGACGTCATTGTGCTTGAATACACCATGACAAGCAGCAAAGAGCCGATCGGTACTCCGTACCAGAAGGGCCATTGAGGACAGCCAGAAACTCAGGGCATCGACCAATCAGGCGACACGTTCGACTCTGACCGCTGAATTGATTTAATTTCAACCTTGAGTGTTGACCCCGTCACACTCTATTATTTGTCCTGTCCTATTTAGAGTCCGAAAGAGCAAAAGGGTGAGACTACTCCGTAGAGAAGGTAGGTACCCTACAGAGGACCACGCGGAGGGAATGCAACCTAAACTCTGACCCTGGAAGCTTTGAGAGCCTTCGGATACAATTTCAGAAGCAAACAACTGGGAAGAGGGGGGGGGGTGAAGCAGGGAGGCAGGTGATGTCTCTCAGAAAGTCTATGCGGAAAGGCAAGATTGGAACTGCCACATCTTACCTCCTATGTGAGAGGCACTCACTCACGCCATCGTAAATCCCTTAATTGAACCGCTCAGTGATGTGAGGTCCACGGTGCCGTGCTCGTGAGGAAGCCTTTCTATCCAGATCGCTGGATGCAAGTGCTTGCATACAGCGAAGCATACCGTCATTGCCCCTCTCCTTCCTCGGTCTTCGAGTCCAAAAACCCGAGTTCAACGGCCGACTAAGCTGCGATCGAGAATCTAGCGGTGTCAGCGTGACGTGCTTTTGGGGAACGCACACCCGCACACCCGCACACCATTACCAGGGAAGAGATGGCTGATGGGCTGTCAGCGGGCCGTCGGCATTCTAGCTCGAGTGACCATGATCGTGTCCGGCTTGATCACCATTCGGACTGTACGGAAAGGAACAGGATAAGAGATGGGGAATGTCATCGCGACGCACCTCACAGAAGCTAGTCAACCTGGATGTACTGCGGATGATCATGTGAGCCTACTCCGTCAGCTGTATGGAAAATAGAATTTGAGGGAGCGATTGGATGATCGGAGGTAGACCCTGAGACGTGCGGCATCAACCTAGATCGCGGGGCCTGATGAAGGCCTGTCTGGCCATTGATACCGCCGAATCGCTGGCGGGACGATTGAGGAACAATGCGAGTGTGGTGCTGATGCTGGTGCTGGTGCTGATGCTGATGCTGATGCGCTGCAGGCGCAGTGAATACTGTAGCAGGTATAGTACGGAGTATGTACAGTACCAGATAAGTACCTACATACTTACCATCAATCTGCTGTAACGTTACTGTACTGTACGGGAGCGACTACTAGGGCATTGGCCATAGACTGCGTTGGATAAGAGTCCGGAAGTAAGCGGTGAAGAGTCAAAATGAGGGGCTTGCAGGTCGCCGGCCGTCTTGGGTATCGCCAGGAGATGATTGAGGACTACAACTGCATAAACTAGTCATCTCTTGTCCGAGGCGGGAAAGGCAAGCTACTTGTCAACGGTCGGCCGATTTATTTTTTCTTCCCTTGCTGCTGTGTGTTTAATTTGACGCCAACAGTCTCCTCCATAGGTCAGCTGGGGTTGGTTTTGAGATTGGGCAGAAACCGGAACGTTGCTGCTGCTGCTGCTGCTGCTGCTGCTGATGTTGTTCCTCGAGTCATGCCGGGCACAACCGTGTTCGAGAGGCCCTTGTTCATCTTGCAGACAGGGCAGAGTGGAAACATACGGTGAGCCGGCCAGCATTACCTGATCTGATACCCAGTCCCCCTCCCCCTCCCTCCACACGAGACGGGGTAGTTGGCAAGCAATCTTCCGGAAGTGTTCTACCGCTTTGACAGCTGGGCCAAGATCCTCTTTTCATGCAAGGTAGCTTGATTGCTACCGACTGATTGTCGCACTGGCGGGGCATTGGGCTGCCCCGCGGTACATGGCTGTGAGTGCGGTGTACAGAAGAGCGTCTGGTAGGAACCAGGGCTGTTGGATGAGAACTGGAACATCAGCCCATCGAGGCAACACTAGCTACGGAGTGGTCTTGCTCTCCTGAGTCTATGCGCTTGTCTTCCGCTTGCCTGTCTGTTCGGTTGCTTGCCTCCTTAACTCAGCTCTTGTTGTTTACTTCTGCTTATCACCCTCTCTATCCTCGGTTGGTCGCAAAGTCCATCGAGTCTATTGAGGCGGGATCTGCCCCTCGTGCCTCCAAGCACAGCCTACGTACAGTACCTCCTTAAAACCAAAGGAGCTGATTAGCCAGTCTTCTTTGCCTATCTGATATATTTACCCCTCGTACTAATCTCCGATTCGCTTCAGATACTGCAACGGCCCCCATCTCGTTGGTGGGGGTGAAGGAGAAACTGTCTCGGAATCGTCCATTGCTTTCTTACCCTTCTCTGCTGATACAACACTAATCCCGCGGGCGCTCTTAGCCGGTATACTTGCTTACGTCTCCTGATATCTTTCGTCATCTCTACCCAAGGGGCCTAAAAGCTATCGACGCGATGGTTGTGCCGTCGAGTTCCCTCAGCTGAAGTCAGCTTCAAAGAGCCAAGCCACCCGCAGTGGATCGGATTATAGGCGCATTTCGCGCCCCAGAATGTCGGGTCCGCCGTCGAGGATTTATGAGGCTAGATAAGTCATGACGCCCACAATTCTGCATCCCACACGGCCATCTTCCGCTAGACAAGCAGGTCGGGTCCGCGGAATATTGTCCCTGCGGTAGGTAGGTATGTATGTATGTATGTACAGCACTGTACATAGTACCTAATACGTACCAAATGATCCTCTACTTTAATTCTTCGAAGTTCTTTCTGCCGAGTCCCACTTTGACTACGACTAGTTTAAGAACTTCACTTATTATGTACTTGGTTAATTACAAATCCCCTCCTCATTGGTGATGAAAGCATTTAGGCCAGACTGTGAAGTCACCCGAGGGTGTCAGTTCCCGTCTGCCTCATGTCGGTAACTGTCGGTGTATGCGCGGTAGTGTACAAGTGTGTGTGTAGTGTGTTTCAGGATGACTTGTTAGGTAAAAGCCCACCCCTCGCCTTGTATAGAGCCAAACGCCGTGCAAGGTATGGATCAATGAGCACATGTATCGAATCCTTCTAGAATTCGCTATGGGGGGGGGCTAAGGGATGGGGATCCTCCCCAGGACCACCGCATGAGCGGTCTTTCGGTCATGCCACCGCCCTGGAGTTTTGACCAGGTACCAAATTCACCAAAAAGGTAAAGATGATCGGTTTGGTCGGTCGGTCGGGTCAAGTCCTGTGAGGACGGGTGTGGCGGGTCGAGTTAACCTTGTTCTTGCTTCGATCTCCCTTCGGCAAGGTTGTTTCTTGGAATTTGGTCGTTGACGACACGAAATTTCCTATTAGTATTAAAGGGAATGTGGTGATTTGCATTCTATAATATTTATACTCAGTAAGTGTGCTCACATCAGTGATTAGCGGGGACACAGAGAGGGCGATCTGCTTCTCAGCGATGCGGCTAGGCTAAGTACTGTACAGTGTAACTACAGTGCATGTGCACGCAAATCTTCAGTGTTGCTTATTTTTACGGCCGCGCATATCTATTCGCAAAAGAATTCCATACTCGATTTTGGTACCACCGTGTCGAATTTGGGAGTGGTCTTCAACCATACAGAGATCACCTTTGCTTCAGTTGCAATCGACACTGTTCCGGAGTACGGACTTTTCTCGATCGAAACAAAGAAAAGTGGGAGGGAGGAAGAAAAAGGCCTCCAACGGATACTTAGCGGCGGGGAAAAGGGTTGACCATGAAAGAGGCAAGAACTGGCCCACATGCCTGTACTGCGTGATAGTCTCCCAGTATGGACTGCTAAGTACAGTGCTATTCGCTCTGGAGTAGGTCAGTAATTTGAGCAAACTGGTCAAATCGCGAATCAAATCTGTCAGATTGAGTACACATTGACACGGCACAGCAATGTTCTACTATCTCCAAGTATAAGAAGTACCGGAAGCCGCCGTACCTTGTCCAGAACCATGGGTATCTCAACAATGGAACCGGCTTGTCTTCCCCGGGCCAATGAGTACAGCCAAGCACACCCAGATGGCAACTTAATGGATACCTAGGTACTAGTCATGTCCAGTTAAATGTGAAACATGAGATTTTGGCTGGAGCCAACATGAAAAAGAAAAAAGAGAAAAAAAAGAAGAAAAGAAAGTTCTCTAATATCGCGCGTCCTGGTTACTGCACACAGTAAACCTAGTTTATCCTGTGTGATTTGCGTGATCTCATTCGTTGTGTCACAATTTGCATGTACACATGCTCATCCACATTTTACCGCCAACACGGCAGGGAGTTTTCCTCGCCCATTGCATGGCGCTAGGGAGAAAAAAAGTACGGCCGAATCGTACTTTGCTAACTGAGCACTGCTATATGCCTGTGAGTGCCAACCGTAGCTTTGCAAAGTAATGTACCAGTACTCGTAGTTATTAGTCAAGCCACAATATCTTAGATATCTTTTGGAATGCAACACGGTGGGCATAGAGAGGGGCTGGTCAAAACTGATCCGAATTTGAACGCCCGCGCATATCAATAATCAAAGGAGATGTTGATTGAACCCGTCGTGTGACTTACACCCTCTCCCAATCTCCCACGTACGCTAATGAGGCTGTGCGCCGTGGCGGAAGAGATACTAGTAGATACTGATTGACTCGGCGGCCTCTTCTACCCAAATTGAGTTGAAGACAGTCGGCAGTGAGCATCCATGCATACCTCGTATACCGACGACCATATCAGAACGAGGGTCGTACTCAATTTCGCTTTTTTTCCTTCGTTATACTTCTTTGGTTATGGTCAATGAAAGAGATCTCGGCCCGAAAGAAAATCAATTTACGTTGGAGACCACCCAATGCCGATGTCAGCGTAGGACGGGCTCCGAAACATGTGTTCTACTGTCGAGATCATTTTGAACCGTCTGGCTGAGACCTTCAGGTCTCCACGTCATGTACGATGACTTACTCCGTAGCCTAGGTAAGCCACATTGGTAGGTAGGTCATACGTCAGGATTTCCCTGAATTGGGCACTGCTGTAGATAGCGAATCCATCAGCATCGGCACCTGCGCGAAGCCACAGTCACAATTGCAAAAGAACCCCTCAGGTGGCGAAGCCAACTGATGGTGGGAGGATGGATCTCAAAGAGAAATGAAGGAGAAAATACTGGAATGGGACTTTCTTACTCCAACGGAAGTTGGGATCCGGTGCCGCGGCGACGGGTAACGATCGAGGATGGATGGGTCTGTTCTCCAGTTCCTAAAAGAACATTAATCACTTCTTGAGTCATTGTGATTGATGATTGATCGACTTTTAGCCTTTTTTTTTTCCTTGCCTCCTTTTTTTTTCCCCTTCATTTTTTTAACCCGGTTTCCAGACATTAGACTTTTCTTTTTTTGCCGCGCACACTAATAACTTATTAGCCCCATCTTAGAACCATTTCTAGCCGGCCCGGGGGGAAGACGGAGAGGAAAGGGTTGCGTCTGCTTTCGACATCGATCATGTGAGCTGTGAGCTGCAGGGGAAGCAAATCCTCCCCCTTCCGACGGTATCAGGAACGCGACCCCATTCGCCCAATTCCCTTTTGTTTGGCTGGTGCCTCCACTGCGGAGCCTCAGGCCTGGTCGAACGGTGGCTGTTCATCCAAGGAAGGCGGTAAAACTGATCCGGGGACATGGATGAGATGTATCATCATTGTTATCGGAGGAGAGGGGAAAGAGAGGGGTTTAAACAAGCTAACCTACTTTGTGCCGCGACTACTCATAGTTGGTCACATAGGTTCATTATTCGTCTGGGAGTACTCCGTACTGTACTCCGTACATATACTTGAGAAAAAGTGGTCGCGAGGATCGCGTACCCACTCATTCTCAACGTGGGCGTCCCCACCCTACATCAGAACATCAATCGAATGCATGGTAGTCCGTACTTAGTCTCCCTGACGAGGTTGTCAGTGTCGCTAGGGATTCAGCACTTCCATGGTTCCTCCATAATCCTTGCTGGGATTCGTAACACAGAAAGCGTACTTTGTGTGCCCTGTCAGGCCATCCACACCGATTGACCCTCGCGCCATGGAGTACAAAGAAAACAACTGGTATATTGCGTGACGACCGTACTACTGCCGCATCATTCACAGACTATAGACCAATGGCATTGTCATGTAGGTTGCTCTGTGTGAACGTCGGCCCATCATCCACCATCTCTATCTAGGCGATGGACCAGTGTCGCGTCTAGATTCGCTGTTGATCGGTTACTTGCCTCCCGATCATGACAGTACAGTCCGTACATTTGAATTGCTGCGCTTATGGCGGAGGGATTCTTGATTCGACTGCTGTCGCGGTTCGGCTCCTTCACTCTTAGCTTGCTCAGCCCTTTCCGGGTACCGCAAGTGACTACGGAGTACCTGCCTAAGGTACTGTACTATCTAACCTACCGTGACTTTACCTTAGAACTCATACTAGTAGTGGAGGGTAGCATGTGGACATTCCCTCCGAACCATGAGCCCGAGAGACTGGGCTACTCTATGAACTGCATACATGCAGACAAAGCTGCATGTACGCGTTCCGTACGCCATGCTCGATTGTTTCATCGTTCGCCTTATGTGGAGGCCACCGTCTATCTATCGACCCACCACGGCCATCTCCTCCTACAAGCACCTGCTGCTGTTTCAATGTCTGACATCTTTGGGATTCAGGCATCGGGTTGCACAACTTTCTCGTCGCATACGGCACTCCCATAGCCGATCTCACCTGACTACTGTCGCGTAGCAGGCTTAGTGGTATTGGTGGTGGTGGGACAGGTCCACGGGTGTTGCTGCTCGACCGGATACTTTCAAACTATGCTCGTCCTTGGGACCTTTTACCTAACTTGGTAATCGTCTCTCGTTGTAGGCAGGCTCATGAATAACCCGTGACCGCGATATACGACCGCAGACCCTCAGGACAACCAGAGTCATCGTGCGTATCTTGGGCATTGCTACAGCGAGGCGGTCTCCGACACCTGTTGGGTGTCTGACCACTTGCCTTGAAAGAGCGTATACTCACTCAAATCATGTGATGTCACGTGCTATGCTCTAAATGAGCTTCCTGTCGGGAGTTGGAGTTATGCTATCATAGCCAAGCGTTCTACTACCGGCCTAGCCAGCAATGAGATGTCAATTGTCACTGTTGAGTCCCGAGATCTTCCCATTTCTGCCACGGCGCATTGTCTTGATGCATCGGTGAGATGGTATTGAGAACCGAATAATACAATATCTGCGTTGGCTTCTTGATCGACTTTGATCGAGAATTTGTGAGCAGATCTCCATCTTCCAGACAAAGAAACAAAAGCCTTGATTTTGCGAGTCGTCGTAATACATGCAGGTTCGATGTAGATGCAACCGCCTCCGTCGACGATCTACCTAACCCCCCTTGGCCATGACAGGGTTGACATTCCCCAGTATCGATACATGCACGGGTTACTCTACCATCCGAGAGCCTAGGCTCTAGAGTTCGATGGTACCAAAATAGACTCCCCCACTCATCTTTGGACTGGAAAGGGTCGATCAGATACATATCGCAGATACGTCAAATGAGATGGTGATAACTATAGGATGCTAAGTTACTAGTCATCATTGATCGCTGAGTCAGTGAAAAGAACAGCCTTTTTTTTTTCGTAGTACTACCGTATGTATGACCTAGGGATCATCTGCAGCTAGATTGGAGCCGACAAGCCATTTTATGCTCAACTTGGATAGACAGAGGAGCCGATCGTTCGGGGCACAACATGGGCAAAAGTACCTGGTGAACAATTCTAAGGTTCGGAAAGTACCAATCTACTTTCGGCTAGGCAGATACCTTGCCAGGGAAGTCTGACCTGGACCTCCTGAAAGTGAGGGCTCGATCAAGATGTAACTGACAAACCAGGCTAACGTTGAAAGAAAAGACCAGACGATGGTGACTGTTTACTCCCGGTTTATAACTCTACATAGACAGACTGGTTGTCACTCGTCTTGTGCATCAGCTGTTTACAGGCATTGGCGGATAACTTTCCCACCCCTACACAAGTGGTTGAAAAGCTGAAACGCTGGCTCAAGGCTGGTCATCATGACATCTTGAACAATTTGACACCCTCATTGCTTAGCGGGGTTCATGATAGGTCCATGAAGAGACGGATGGTCCTGGACAACTTGTGGCGGAGACCCGCGGATTCACCCCCTCCCTCCCACTTCCATCCCTGTCTAAACATCCGAATTACTCTATGAATCCTTCTGGTCTTCCCTCCCTATCACTCACTTCCCTCCACCCCACATGACTGACTCTCTTTGCTGCCCGCATAGAGGTTTCTTTCTTATCTGCTCAATGCTGCAGTTTTGTCTCTTTGTCCCGCCGGTCTACGTTGTCTATTGGCCCAAGTCAAATATGACACGTCCAAAGCTGCGACCCACTTGTCGGGCCCACAATGTTATTGTCGCTTCTTTGCCACTCTGGGGAACGGTCCAGATTCCAGGAAAAAGACGAGGAGCTGCCTTCACCTGAACTCACCAACCAATCTGAGAATCTCATAGATCCTGACCCTTTGTGCAGCATACATGTGGCTTGGTTGCTATGGTGCTGGGGAGCGAGTCTGTCGCAGGGCTATATCGTTCGAAATCAATCCTTCGAAAGGGATTAGCCAGAGCGCGAGTCGCGCGCGCGCATTCTTGCGTCCTTGGTGAGTAGAGATTGTGTCACTCAACATAAGCGTCTCGGACTTGCTTGTCAGTTCCAGTGCTGTCAGCTTACCGGTCACGGTCATTCGTCAAGATGGCAATGAAGCAAGAATTGAGACACTTCCTTTGTTGCTCGTCAACAGCAACGTAGGGCTTGCTGCCATGCATTTCGTATGTTTACCCCCTATGCCTCTATTTGCAGACCCAATTCCATTTGCCGGGATCATAACCCGTTACTAACTTGTGCGTCTTTGCGCCACAGGTTTTTCGACTTGCGTGTTCAACAACTTCGGTAGCTCTCTCACTCAGGTTCTCGGGTCCCAACTGGTGGACTTGGAATGCTCTATGAGGTCTGCGGGAAGACTCACTTGCCATTTGTTGATGGCGTCGCTGCAATGATAATCGACTTTCTCCTTTCTTTCCTGAACACTAAGTTGGAGCCATGCATACTATCACCGGTTGGCCGATGCTTGGATAAGGGAGGGGTTGCTGGCTGGCTATCATGGCTACTTCTACGACCACGGCTTGACTCCGGGTCCTTCAGCATGTGGCTGCCTCGATGCCGTCTCGAGACAATGTGCAGACGAGACATGCTGTCCTGCATAGTCCACCTCGATGCTGCCCGCGAAGGCAACTTCTCCCAGCCTAGTGACCCAACGAGTTTTCAAAGCCCACCCCCTGCCTTAAGCCTGGTGTTGGAATCTAAGCGTAGAGAAAAAATGCCAGGAGAGATGCGAGCGCATTTTGAGATGAGAGTCCTGCAATTGCAGATGAGAGGCTTGGCCATTTGAGCCTACATGTATTCACCTTTCGCAGCAGTACCCTGTATGTACACAGGATTGCTTACCCTTTTCCAAGTCACGGTTTGTGGAAATCTGGATCGGCGTTCTGCAACAATTTCATCTTATTTGAGAAATGGCCTGAAGAAACTTGCTTGGGTATGCTCAGGTGATGCTATGGGCTTTCTCACTGCCCGTTGACAAGTTTGAAGATTTGTGGGCATTTTCTGTGTCGTGCATATCCCAGGCACCCGTCCACTCCGATATATATCTATAGTATTGCAGCGTGAGCATCGTACACATGCTGATGGGTACCCATAGGCCTGTATGCTGTAAGATGCACTTGTATTCCGTGTATAAGCCCAGATATTAGTTTGAATCAACGTCTGAGGATCACAATCCAATCGTACTGGTGAGTTGTCTAGCTGCTCTACAAACGAGGAGCACACCCGCGCGAACCATTGGAAGCGGAGAAAAGCTCCAAGTTCGGAGATATCTTATCATCATGTGCCGATAATGTCACATGATCGTCAGTTTTCCTCGCCTACGACACTGAGGTCATACGCATCGACCATTGCCTATCCCCAAGCACGCATCAGAAATCTGCAACTAGATTCATAGCTCTCCCAAGCAAAGGAGAATATGAATTGCAACTGATCGTACAATCTCTTCAGCCACAAGTGTGAAGTGTTTGTCTGACAATGAACAACATCCGCTAGTATTTTCGAACGCTCATCATGGCCGCTCAACGAACATGCATCCTACGCTCATTTCCACTTTCAGGCGCTCAGCGGTCGGCCCGACTACATCAAACCCCCATCGCATTAGCTCGAGTGCTGAGGCATTGCCAACGTCACAATAGCACCAACTCTGATTCACAAGGACCCGCAAGCCAAGCCATCGTGCCCGACCAACAACCTCTCGAAACCTCCCATCTCAATCCTCTACCGGACGATTACTCTCGGTTCATATTCCAAGACAAGTGTCGCTCGACGATATGGTCAGGCTCAGGCGGAGATGGGTGCGTCTCGTTTCTTCGCGAGAAGTATGTCGAGGAAGGCCCACCGAACGGTGGCGACGGCGGCAGCGGTGGAAGCATCTACATCCAGGCCGTTGAAGGCCTGACCAGCTTACACAAGCTCGCCCGGAGAGGTGTCATCAAGGCGGGACGAGGCAAAAACGGACAGGGAAAGAGCAAGGGCGGCAAGCGCGGCGAAGATGTACTCCTCCAGGTTCCTGTTGGTACCGTCGTACGCGAAGTCGATCGGTACGACCCGGTCGCGGAGGAGGAACTACGTCAGCGACACGAACGCATGAAGGGCTCTGAAGAAGCGGAGGAGATGGAAGAGCAGGAGTTCGGCATAACATCGATTCGCCGCGATCGTTGGGTTTTGTACCCCGGAGCCAATCCGTCCGATTATTTGACTACGGTATTTCCGAAAAGTCCGCCGCGGCGGCAGCACATCGCCTCCTTGGAGCCCAAACAGCCCATCAGTCTTGATCTCTCATATCATATGGATAAACCGATGTTGCTTTCGGCGGGTGGTGTGGGTGGGATGGGCAACCCGCACTTCGCGCACCGCGCAATGAGCCGACCGAAGTTCGCGTCCAGAGGGGAAGGTGGCAAGCGTCTGGAGCTTGAATTCGAACTCAAGCTTCTTGCGGATGTTGGACTGGTGGGGAAGCCTAATGCTGGAAAGAGCACTTTGTTACGCTCATTGACCAAGAGTCGCACACGAGTTGGGAATTGGGAGTTTACGACGCTTGAACCAAATATCGGGACGGTTGTCATAGATAATCACAAGGGAAGACCTCTGGTCGAATTAGAAGGCCGGAAGCCGCGGACGAATTTTACGATTGCCGATATACCGGGTCTGGTCGAAGGTGCTCACCTTGATCGCGGCTTAGGATTGGGTTTTCTGCGACATATCGAACGAGCTGGTATCCTTGCATTCGTCGTCGACCTTAGTGCCGGTGATCCCATTCAAGGTCTCAAGAATCTATGGCTTGAGCTTGGTGAATATCAACGGATGCGTGAAGCAGAACATGCTTTGAAACTTGAGGAACTTGCATGGCCTGCACCAGTAGACGAGCTACCGGATTTCTTCTCGTCGGAGGAAGCGCCAGAACCTACTTTCGTGGTCCCCGACACTAGTTCCACCAGTCCCAAGCAAGACCTCAATCCCCTCCCGGAGCTTAAGATGCCACCGATCCATACCAAGCCTTGGTTTGTCGTGGCCACAAAGGCCGATCTCCCAGAGACTCAGGAGCAGTTTCAAGCGCTGCGGAACTATCTTGCCGCCGTGGAAAAGGGCGAAGCTGATCACCCGGGTGGACTGCAAGAAGGGTGGAAAGAAAGAGTCTGCGCTGTTCCCGTGAGCGCCATCAAGGGTGAAGGAGTTGCCCGCATTCCCCGACTAGTGATGGAACTGCTCGGTTGATTATGTGACTGGCAGAGGCTCATATGGACGTCTGTGCAGATAGTATGTAGAGTACAGCACGCTACCTGGCCGGACGCATGTATGTAAATATAGAATAAGTCAATGAAAACCTCATGCTATTGCCAATTGTTTTCCTTGCTTGCAACTACACTATTTCTGCTATCCATTGTGCTTTTCTCCCGAACCTTCATCATATATCTTGCTTCCAGTGCAGTCTACTTCGAGGTCGAAGACCGCCGTCTTCTGCACAGAAATGTTGTGTTGAGTGTCCCCGTATGACGTCGGGCGACCCGTCAAGGAGAAAAAAAGGAAGTCGCGGGAAACAGGTTCAACATCGCGGCGGCGCTGGGCCACCGCCAAAAGAAACCTTGGATACAAAACCGAAAAAAACCTCCTCCACCTTTGGCCAGTAACATCTCTAATCCTTCGCCTCGATCGCACTATATTCATCAAAAGAGAAAGGGATATCTCGGATGCCATGAATGCCTCACTTCCAAAAGTCATCCTCCACGCAATCACGTCCATCCGGAGAGTTGACGAGGACGATCCCATTGTGAGATGCCGCGCAGGTCGTTCAAAGGACCTCTCCAAACTATTGCTACAGGATCCCGAAGGTGCAATCAAGGAAGCAGACTCCCACCTACGCGTCTTTCCCTTCAAAGATGTTGACGTGTGCTGGCGTCGGCTATACACGGATGCCAGCATCCTGAAGGCCTGCCTCAATGTCTGCACCAATCTCGTATTTCCTGCCGCGGCCCACTTGGACGAGTCTTATTACTACCGCCTACTCTATAAACTTAGGAACCATGCAGGTGATGAGGACATTCGGATTGATTCCAAAGCTCCGTGGCTTACGCCCACTATATACTTACTCGACCGAGCATTGATCATGACTGGCGCGCCCTTGCGCGAGAATCTTATCGAGACCCTGATCAATGCTCTCCAAGCATCCACTAGATCCGCACTGCAGCATGCAGCACCTAAACAACCAGAGCGCAATCCTCTCTTCTCCCCGGATGCAGCACCAGAACCTCAAATAAAATATCCCATTCCCCGCGTCTCAGCTCTGTCGTTTGAGCAGTTCAGAGCGCATATTTATAAATCTCGAACTCCCCTGGTAATCACTGATGCAGTGGAACACTGGCCGGCCCTAACGACCCGGCCGTGGTCTTCCCGTGCTTACTGGGATGATCGCACGTTCAATGGTCGAAGGCTCGTGCCCGTGGAGATTGGTAGAGCCTACACGGATGACGACTGGGGCCAGCAGATTATTCCCTTTAGCGAGTTCGTCGACGGTTACCTGGATCGGGACCGGAATCAGGATGGTCCCACCGGTTATCTGGCACAGCATGACCTGCTGGCCCAAATTCCAGCTCTGCGAAACGATATCTGTATCCCTGATTACTGCTATGTCAATCCCCCGGGGCCGGAGCCGGGTACACCCGTGTATCTCAAGAAGCGGCTGGAAGCGGAGGAATCCAGGAAGAGAAAGGCTGAACAGGGAGCAACTATCACGAACACAGACATTTATGCTTCGGAGCAGGTGGATGCCAGCGCTGTGGAGACCGAATCCGCAAGCGATGATTCTGTGAACGATGATTCAAGTGGTCCCTACATCAATACCTGGATCGGTCCGTCGTGGACCATTTCACCCTTGCACCATGATCCATATCATAACATCTTTGTTCAAGTAGTGGGCGCAAAGTACGTTCGACTCTACTCGCCTCATACGCCCGCCTCGCAGATCTATCCTAAGGGAAAGGAGGCTGTGAATCGATCATCGGACGAGATCTCCAATGAAGGCGATAGGCAAGCAGACATCCAACTTCAAAGGGAATTAGTTGCATCCATCAACGGAGAAGACCCTTCGTCACCAGAGATAACCGCGAGGGAAGATGAGCAGTCTCAAGCGATTGACATGTCGAATACCTCGCAGGTGGATCTGGCAGCCATTGAAATGTCCCCGGCCGAGGCTGAACAGTGGGAGGACCTATGGCCGGGATTCCTGCAGGCAGAGTACGTCGAGTCTATCATCAAGGAGGGCGAGTGCCTGTATATACCTGTGGGCTGGTGGCATTATGTTCGTAGCTTACACGGAGGTATCAGCGTTAGTTTTTGGTGGGAATAGCCAATTGGCCCCCATTGCCTAGATCGGTAGCAAAAGGCAAATACAAATTAGATCAAGCCCACTAAAGGATCATGATGTAGCAGGTGGAGACACCCTAGACCTGATACCTTCCAGAATATTCCTCTGGTGTTCGCCGAAGTCGACCGTCATGAGTCTCATCCAGGAGCAACAGCGGATGATGGTTTCCATCGAGAGTGGGAGGATATAGGATATAAGGCGCAATGCGACCCAAAAGAGTCAAAATAGGTCGGCATACAAGGGAATATAGTGAGATGGATGGATAGATAGGTAGATCGATAGATAAGTAGATAGTGGGGTGGTCAGCAAAGTTCGGTGTCAGTGTGGAGCAAAGGTGAGGCCAAGTCAGGATACCAAATTGGGCAGCAAATGATGAAGCCGGTTTCAATGAGTTGGCGGTGGTAAAATGGAGTAACTACTAGAAGTAACTTAAGCCAACCTTAATAAGTCCCAAACTAAGGAAGGTAGGTAACGCTAGTTAAGGTGTGAATGTTTGTTTGACTTTGCCCAGGGCACCCAGACTTCTCCAGGTACTAACTACCATCACTACTACTACCACCCCGGAGTCCCTTTGATCCAGGTCCAGGTCCAAGCGTTTGACTCCCATTCTTTCCAGTTTCTCTGTCTCTCTTCCGATTGCATGCACTACATTGATTTCACTGATAAGTTATACCTCACTTAACAACAAGTCCAACGTATGACTCCAAAGCTGAAACGAGCTGAGGTCGAACTGCTTTCCGTCCAATCCCTCCAATACTGTCTCGTCTCGTGTTTTCTTCCTCGCGTGCCTTGCTTGAGGTTTCTTTCTTTTCTTTCTTTCTTCCTTTCTTCCTTCCTCCGTTCTTTTTATTCTTCGAGATACTTCACTGTTTACCTGTGCTATATCGACGATAGCTGTGTCTAGCTCTGTCGGTGCATTCGTTCTTTCCTTGCTAACCAAAATAGCCACCTCGAATGTTCGGTCGTTGTGGAGCCAGAAGTGGATGATCGTACTGTATTGTTGCTCCGGGAGATCATGTTCGCTCGGAACGCTTTATCGCGGCGCGCTGTCCGATAGGGAAAAAAAGTTCTTGTTGAATTCATTGAATCGCCCATCAAGGAGGTTGCCCCCCCAGCCTTGGACTAGAGACGCAGGAGGTAAGTAGTTATCTCTTGTACTGCTACATATATTGGAATATTTTCCAAGGGTTGGGCTAATCCTGCATGGCACTAACTAGGGCCTCTAAGGCTAACCAGCGACGAATTGATTGCTTTGTTTTTGTCCCTTTTCCCCTCAGCAACCTCCGAGCCGATAGAACTCGGCTTCGATCCCTCGTTTGCAAACTTTCGCCAAATCGCCTCACTCTCCCCTCTCCTATATATCTCTAGTTGGTTCTTTGCCGCTCGTTTACTTGGAGGACCATTCGAAATCTAGCCCTTTGCTCGCCGCGAGAGGTCATGTGTACAGCACGGTCAAACCTTGGCGTGATTCTAGTGGCACACAGTCCTTCGGCGAGAAGCAAACAATTGCGGGCCCGGTCGTCCTCTCAAGATGGTTAAGGCAGACGTGCGGAGAGACTACTACGCGGACTTGGGTCTCACTCCCAGTGCAGAGACGGAGGATATCAAGAGGCAATTTCGAAAATTAGGTGAGAACAAGGCCTTGTTGTCAACCTGGCAAGGAGTGCTGTATTAACCTTTGACAGCTCTGAAGTACCATCCCGATAGGAATCCTGGCCGCGAGGTGGATTTCATCGCCAAGTTCCAGGCCATCCAAGCGGCTCATGAGATCCTCATCGACCCCCAACAACGATTGCGGTATGACACGGACCGACTGCGCGCTGGGTACGGCAAATTTTATGGTCCCGCTAAGAGCACTACGCCTCGAAAGACGACTTCCACTCCTCAATCCTCCACATATTCTTCAAAACCTGCACCTACGAAGCCACATTCTACGACACGTCCACAGTCCTTCCATGCGGCGCCCTCGAGCGGCGCCCAACGTTATGCCAGCTATGCACGCGCGGCGCCGAAACAGCCATGGGAGAAGGCGCATGATGAGGGACAGACAAGGGCGGACGCATATCGAGGCTTCCAGGATATGAAGGGAAACGGCATGCCGGGCGGGTGGTCATCATTTGACCCCCGTACCGGACGCGCGGGATACAACGGAGCCACGCCTAGACCCACCAAGGCAAATGCGCAGTCGGCAAGGCCCAAGTCCGCTTTCGAGTACTTCAGGACATCCAATAAGTCGGAGAGCCCAGAGGCTTCACGGGCCCAAACCAAAAAGAAGAAGCAGGGGTTCGCTCCGCACGCCGCGGGCGGCGATGAGCCTATGGCCACACACACTTCCTCATACACTAGTCGAAACGAGCGCTCACAGACCTCGAATACGTACTTTGGAGCTGCGCCGTCACCGACGGCGAAGAAGACTGCCACTAATCGGACAGATACGCCTGAATTCGAACGAATGAGAAGCAGGTATGCTAGCACTGGAGGAGAGAGAACATTCTTCGACAGCGCCAACCTTGGGCGCTCTGCGAGCACGCGGGATTCTACTGAAAGTCCCAAACCTCGCTCCCGGACCAACCCACCCAGCCCGTCTCCTCCCGAAGGTGGACGTTATCGTAGCGCTAGCCCGAAATTCAAGGCAGATAAGAACACAAACTATTCGTTCACGAGTAGTTCTAGTGATCTTGACGAGGACGACGATGAAGAGTTTCTGGCACGGAAGCCTAAGGCGGTCCCCAAAAGCCGGCTCCACCCTCACAAGAAGTTCACTGCTTTTCATACAGAGCAGACCCCGGAGACCAGGTCCGGTGAGTCTCGCCTCTTCCCTAGAACTGTGCTGGAGTGATTTGTCAAATAGCAGAGGGATGTCTTCTATGGCATTCGTGAGTGCTAACGAGACACGTGAGCAGGGTCGACTGCGAACGATACCACATCAGCAAACAACCCCTTCGATACGCCTAATATCTTTGGCTTTCACAGCCCACTGAACTCGTATGTGTCACACTTGAGTGACCCTTGGATCTCTGAACTGACGACTTTTGGCGCATAGACAACAAGAATCCGAGCAAAATGGCGTCCCGCCAAACAGAAGCTTCAAAAGTAGTAGTCATGAGCAGCTGCGAAACACATTCTTTGCCGAGAACTGGAATGGAGCTGCTTTCTTCGATGGTGCTGCTCAAAATCTGGATGGACGAGGACGATCAGCGACTCGAGATGACACCGAAAGGAAGGGACACTCTGCCGATGCGCCCGATCATGAGGGACCCATCCCCGAACCAGAGCCTCAGCCGACTTCCTTCGCCCAGTTTGGGTTCCCTGCTGATCAATGGACGGAGATGTTCAAGAACATGTCATTCGAGCCGAAGAATGGAGGGGCTCAACAGACACAGACGGCCTCTGCCCAGCGACAGAGAAGTCCCCGCAAGCAAAGGACGGCGACCAAGACGCGGCCTACTCCTAAGCCAGCTACTGTTACGGCAGAAGCTGACGAGATAGCAACAACTCTGAACGGGGATACCACCCCGGAAACAGCCAAAGCGGGGGACGCGGGCGTAGAAGCAATGGATCTTGATGACACGCCACCTCCCATGACCACGGAAAGATCGGATGAGACGAAGAAAACCAACAAAACAATACCAATGGCCAAGCCAGTTTTAAATGAAGAGCAGAAGGACGAGAACGCCAAGAACTTTAACCTAGAGGACTTGAGCAAGACGGTTCCTCTCACACAAACCACAAACGGTGGCATCGAAGACCTTCAGGACATCCATGTTACTTTGCCGTTCGAATCCCGTGCCAATTTCCCCAAGACGACGGTGCGCAACGCCCGTCCTCGCGACTTGGACCTGCCTCGACCGCCAAAACGGCCGACTATGCCTGAACTGATCCCTCTCAGTGCGGGCTCCGCACAGATGGGCTTATCTCGCGCAGCCTGGGAGCGTTACACCGCAGAGATGGCGGTATACACGTCCGAATGGAACACCTTTAATCGTCGCATGTTACAGCATTTTAATGCACGCCAGGAGGCCACCGAGACGGGGATGGCTCCAAATTGGATCGGTGCTATTGGGGATGCGGCCAAGGTCAAGCTAGACCCAGAGGACGGACTAGACGGAGCAAACAGTGACACCATGGTGGCAGGCAGCGCAAAGGGAGGATACAATGCGTACAAGCTCGCATTGGACCAGGATCTTAGGGTCTGGAAACACTGGGAGGTAGCGCGGGAATTGCACTACGACTGCATCTCCAAGCTCGGAGACTTGCGCGATTGGGTCATTTCGGGGGGCAAGATGCTATAGAGATCAACGGGCAGAGTATGACTTATAAGGTATTGGGCCACATTTCAGCATCACTCTCAGCGACCGTCGCACGGATGCATGCATTGGTTTAGGGCGTTGGCGTTATAGTGATTGTTAGTTACTTGATGATATCCCGTGTATCATATTCTACCAAGGCCATGGAAATATCCTGGGAAGCGTATTTGGATTGCAACCTTCGACTCTAGCTCTAGCTCTTGATGATCCGTTTCACGTTATTCTGAGATTGTTCTTGGATTGTTTTCGTCTCCTGCTGGTAATCACCCATTCACGATCCGTGATCTGCAGAGGCCCTACTTGCCAGCCCCGAGCCCCAAGCCCTAACTCTATCCCGATACCGGTCGGAAGTCCCCGACCAGCCAGAGGGAAAGGATGAGAGCACTGGGCTCCCGAGCAGCAAATACCGCATACGGCGGGGTCTCCCGCCGCGGGGGCTCGAGACGGTAACGTCAAATTACCGGCAAACGGGGGCATGATGCTAGGAAAGAGTGCGGGCGGCACAGGTTGCTGGGGTACGGTATGGTACCAGGTGCCCGCGGTAATGGGCACGCACCGATCGAGGAGTCACCGGCAGACCCGCCCAGCAGGTTAGTGAGAGTGCCGGGCTATATATCATCTTCCCCTCCGCAGACCTTCCCCTCCGTTTCTTTTTTTCGGCTTTTTGGTCTTTGACGGTCGCGAACTCTTCGCCGCTGCTCCAGTCACCTCTGGTATACGTTGGAAATCCTCTGGTGCTCTTTAACTTCTTACCACAATCAAACCCTCTTCAGAATCCCTTTTTACTGCCAGTCCAACTGACGCCGGATTCATCCGTTGACTCATCCGCATACCCACTATCGTGCCCCGCCTCCAGACGTTCCTCCCTCCATCTCAGTCCCTTGTCGCAGTTTCAAGGAGTCCTAACGATCGAAGTATTCAATTGCTTTTAGATCT